GGCATGCCTGAATTTGGTTGAAAATTTAGTGTCAGGGACCTACCACAATGCAAACTGCCAGTAATTGCTTCAAAGGGAGAATATCTGTAAAGATTTATGTTACTGATAGTCTGAGCTTGGACGTCTTTGGTACCTGCATGCCTCCTGTCGTTCTGCTGTGTCAGGTCTCGGGACCTTTACAGTGGTACTCTGTGAGGTGGAGCAGTACCACGTCCCTTTTTGTAGGTGTATGGTTGAGACTTCAGGACACACAAAGGGGTGGCAGAAGAGGAGGGAGCTGAGCCTGCGTGTTGCTGTCTCAGCTGCTGCCGTCACCCATCGTATCTGGTCATCCTGCCTTGCTGTGCGAGTTGCTTGTTTGTAAATCCCTTAAGCCCTTCGGTGCATAAGCTTTACCTGTTAATAAGCATTCCCTCTGTATGTTGTTTGTTCTGTTTCATAACATACCTGACATAACATCTGTCAATTGAAGTAGGTAGGTAAAAGTAGTAAATGAGTTAAAGCTGCTGGGCCTGGTTTTGCTCTTGGACCAACATCTGTCTGGAGTTCAAGTTAAAAGTTCTCTGTTTCTGTAGAAGTGGGAAGAGGACGATACCTGACTGATAGGGTAGAAAAAAGCATACACAGCTGGCGCCTGAAAGTGAGGCTCATGTGGGTGGTTATTTTGTGTTATGGCCCCAAACAAGCTGGAAGTCTTGTTTTTTAGTCTTCGTTCAGGTACAGCTTCCATTAAACTCAGAGGGATTTCTGGTTGAGTGAGTGGAGTAAAATGCAGTAAGGACTCTAGGACTTCACACTTCATTTCCCTAATGATGCGTTAGGAGTAGAGACAAAAGAACCTCCTTGTTTTGTTTTGCTTTGTTTTGGTGTTTGTTTTTGTTTTTTTTTTTCTCCACTGCATAAATTCTGCAAAGGCAAAATCTCTTGCTTTTTAAAGATTATGGAGAAAATTAATAAGCATTTTTTGGATGAAGGAGCTAAGGGACAGAACTTTCTTCGCGTTCTGTAGTGGTAAATCTCGTAGTCTGTTTGTATACTTTATACGTTTTCTTTCCTTTTCAGTCTTGATTTCATCTATGATCTATTCGAACATGTTTCAAGTCGCAACAATCAAGACACTCTTAAATGTGGAAGTAAGCACCGAAAACCCACTGTGAGTCTCCAGTTCAAGGTTAGTTAATGTGTCGTCTCTGCTATGTAGCTAATGAGTGATAGATAAACCCTGTTCAGTAAAGCGCAGTTGCAGATGAAAACTGGCAAAACTTCAGCATCAAAACATTGCTGTCTCTTCTATGAAACTGCACTTACTAATCAACTGAGTGGCCATACTAGCTAGCTTAAAGCAGACACTAACCTTTACATCACACCATCTGCACAAAATTTCTGTTGCTCTCCACTTGCTTATTTGTCCTTATTTTAAAGCTTATCTATGAAATTGGTCTGTCTCATGCTATTTCTTCTTTCTAATCTAAAACCAATGACAAAATCGCACAAAGGCTTACAGCAGTGCCTACATGCTAAGAAAAGTAAGTACTGAATAAATATCTCATTAAGGTGTTGCATTGCTTTTTAACATAAAGATTGGAAAGTGTTTTTATTAAACACCTTTTTATGAGGCTTTGTAGACCTCCCATCAAAAATGGCACCAAATTGAAATCTAGCATAAAGTCTATCTGCAAATTATTTAGAAGAGAAAGATTGGCACAAAACCTTTTCTAAATTGCATAAGTACAAGTCTGGATTAGTTGTCTTTCATTTTGTTTGAATTAATATACATTTGCACTGTTCCTTCACTTTTTTTCTAAAAAAAGGGAGCAGACTCAAACCCCTTGAGGGCAGATTTTATCGTAATAGGCTGTTGCTAAGTGTTGGATAGAACAGCAAGGAGTGTATGCTGGGGTGCACACAGTGTCTTTTATTAAAAAACACTAATGCTATATTCCCTGGACAGCTTGCTTTGTGCTACCATCGCTCGTCTCAGACAATACCCACTTCTTGTGATGAGGTGGTATTATTTGCTAGCTTTCTGGGATAGCAGAAGGTACTGTTTCCACTTAGTCATTGGTACCTGTGCAAAGTGGACCTTTAAGATGTTGCTGTATAAAAATTGACCATATTTTTGCTCCCACTTTTGAAGGTGGAACATAATGTAGAGTTCCTTCTCTTCTCCGTCAGGGCCCCTGGACAACATAAAGCATGATGAAACATGAAATCAAAACATTGTTGCCTCTTACCTAAAGCTGCAGTAACTGACCATTAACCAGCTGGGTTGCTTTACAGGAGATTGACCTTCACATCATACTGTCCCCAAAGAATTAGGTTGGGTGGTTTTTTCCATGTTTTAAAGCCTTCCAGGGATTAGTCATCTCATTTCAACTGAAGATAAGAACTTTGCCTTCACAGTTTTATTCTCATGATAGGCTGGTTAACTCTTCTTTTCATTTGACAGCCTGCCTAATGTGGGCCTGGGGGTGCATGCAAAATAGCTGAGGTTAGATACCATCTGTTTCAGCCTATTGCTTAAAGCAGAACAAACTTCAGATTAGCTTGTCACCTGACAGTGACTTAGAGGCATGCAGCACTGTGCAGAATCTGGCTGTCTACCACAGATGAATGTGAAAATAGGTTAAATCATTTTTGTTTAGACTGACCAACTTTTCTGGTCTAAGTAGTACCCAGTGTTGAGAGAATTCGCTTAGTTGTCCGTAGATGTTGTAATGTTCACACAGGTTTAATACAGATGAAGCCTTTACTTTTTGAAGCTGTAAATATTTGTCTTTACACAAAAATATATGTCTTTGTATCTTCTGGCTGTTTAATGTTTGTTGCCCTCAACTCCTGGTCCATAGGCTGGCAAAGGCAAATGAACCAAGAACTATCATTTATGTTCCCAGTCACTTCACCATTTGCCACCTTTGCTCTGTACCAGCTCCTGTGCACAGCCACAGCCCTGCCTGTTGCCTTTATCACTTCATGTTTAATCATAAAGGAAGCCCTTGATTTGCAGATTAAAGCAAGAATTTATTGTAACAGACTGCCATTGGCAGTTTCACTCCAAAACATATGGTAGGACACACAGTGTTTGTTGCTCCTTTAAAAAGTGAATTTTCTGTCTTCTTGGCAGCCTGCTCTGTATTCTCTCTGCTGCCTGGCACACAGTGCCACCTTTGAGGGGTGAAACATTGTCATTGCTAGCTTTCTGGGCTCTTCAGAGCCTGGGCTCCCCTCCTATACAGTCATTTGTACCTCTGCAAAGTAAACGCAAGACGTCAGTTTAAAATGGTTTATCGTACTTAATGATACAGAATGAGGCAAGTTGGAATAAGATATGGAATGATTACTTGGGCGGGAAAGGGGCGGATATGTAATTAAAGTAATAATCATAAAAGGACTGAGTGATTTTGTGATTTTTATCTCCAGGCTGAGGTTCAGAGAACTGATAGTCTAATGTGTATGGGTCATTCAGAGTTCTAAAACTAGGAAAACCCCCATGTTTTCTTCTATGTTTTTTTTGAGTTGAACTTTATAATCTCTTTATTGTTAAATGCAATTAGCAGTCACATGAAATAACTGTGAAACTGTCTGCTTAACGCTGTTAGCATTGTCTTTCAGTAAGATGTGTTTTCTTCACCACTCTACCCTTTACTCAATTTTTGTTAATTTCAGGACGGGGGGTGTTTTAAAATCTAGTGTTGCTAAAACAATGTCTACTGTATTCTAAAGTAACTCTTTTATCAGAAATTTTAAATATTTTTTTTGTATCCTCTGGTCGACTTACAGTTATTATCAAAGTGTCCTTTTAGCACGAAAGTTTGAGATCACACAAGAGAGAGCTTTTATCAGAAATTTTAAATATTTTTTTTCTATCCTCTTGTCAACTTACATTTATTATCAAAGTGTCCTTTTAGCACAAAAGTTTGAGATCACACAAGAGAGAAGAACTCCCTGTGCACAAAATGCTGCAAATGGCAGGGAAAATGGAAAATGAGTGGGTATGGGGTGATTGAAATTGAAAAGAGGAAATCTGGTTATGTGGGTATTTCAGTTTTACCTTAGACTTCTTATCTTTCCTTTTGACTTGCTCAAGTTCAGCAGTTTGGGAATGTGGCTCCTAAGTCTTAAGCAGTTACTCAAAAGATCACTGAAATGGCAACTTTCAAATTTGGTGTTCCCTTATGAAGAGTTTTCTTCATATCAATCTGTGTATCTTGTTCACTGTAAAACAGTGATGGTAGTTTTGATCAGAAGGGCCAGTGGAAGAAATGAACATGCATGTCTTGATTCTGTATGTTCACAAGCAGGAGCTTACATGGTACAGTAATTTCTGGTGTGTACCACTAGGTGTTGCAGATGGTATTGTCTGCAATACAAAGCTGCAAGAGCTTTTGCCAGGGTATGTTGCTTGTACGAAAACTCAGCTTGTGAAGTGCTGTCTTCTTTCTACCTGTGTTTTAGGAATCACTTCATTCTTTAATGGCAACGCTGAGTTCTTCAAATCCTTTCTTTGTTCGGTGCATCAAACCCAACGTGCAGAAGGTAAGATTTAAAATCGCACCTGTCTTTTCTATATGTCTCAGGCCTAATCTTTCACTGCCTGTCTGGTTATTTACCGCTGTGTGAAGCAGAGGGTAGTGTTCTTCACTGACTTTGTAAAAGGCTCTGCAAGGTGAAGGTACTGGGAAAGGCTTTTGGGTTTTTTTGCACATGGTCCATATCTTTGGGCACCTTTATAATAATCATTGGTCACAACTCTGATAAATGATTGGCTCTAAGGATGGTTATAAAAGGAAGGTAGAAGGCTGTGCTGCATGTTTGACAACTCTGTGAGAGCTTTTTTAGGAAAAGAATGTCAAAACTGCAAACTTTGTTTTAAATCCCTACAGGCAGTGAATGGTGGTGCATATAGCAAAACTGATGTGAATGACTGACTCTGTCATCGGACTCTTAGGCTTTCAATTTATATACAGTTCTAGGTGTCTTCGTGCTGGCTGTTTTGTTGTTACAGATTTCTGGTTTTTAAAATGGACTTGGAAACTAGGGCTTACTATATTAATTTGTCTTTTGAGTCCAGATAATGAAAGGCAATATCAAGACTTATTTAGATACGTTGGTGGGCTCTGTAAAAATGAAGCAGTAATGGTATAGTAATCGCTGAAGTTAATATTATTAGCCTGGTCCTGATATTCTGGGGTTTTGCACATCTGTTTTTGGCTTCATAGGCTGTTATTCAGGTATGGTCTGCTTATGTCAAAAATGCAACAGGCAGAGGTACTAACGAATCTGGTTTGTGGTTTTCACATGATAGTTTAGAAATAGGTGACGTGTTACATTTTTCTGGAATGTCTGGTTAATCAGGACGCTAACATATCAAACCTGGCAGATTTTTCTGTTATCTGGATGGTACCTCCTCAACTTTACTTGTTTTCAGTTGCTAACTGTTAACTCGTGGTGTGTCAAATAACATGCAGATTGTGGGCACCTTAGCAAGAGTGAACAGCCTGGAGGTGAATAAGACCTGCCTTCTGTGTGCTGAAGTGTTTGGTGCTCTGAGGTGTGCAACCACCAGGTAGCCAAACCCACGTGGATGACAGCGCCTTGGCCAGCAGCTGGGGCCTCTGAGCCTATGTGTGTAGCAAAGTCCTGATCACTGGGGGAGGGCAGTTTTGAAAAGCTTATTTTCTTCCTCACTCCTGTTTCTGCCTGGAAGCAGAAACTCACCTGTTTTTCTTATTTGTTCTTTTACATCTGAGTAAGGCTCATCTTCACAGTTCCAAAGTCACAAGGATTTGCCATGGTTCATGGAAGAACCAGGCACTTGTTGCATTTGCATAACAAGGAAAAAACAGAGTTCCCACTCCCCTGTTCCTTGTTGCTCTACCAGTCTTTTCCCACTAGAATGTTGCATCTCTGACAAATTCGGCATATGCTACCGTATCTGCACATATATTTTACTATCATTAAAACAGAGTTCTCACAGAATTAGCACCTGGGCAAGCAGAAGGAGCTTGAGACAGCCTCAGTCTCAGGAAACCACGTCTAATTGCAGGACTGCATGCAGGAGCAGATTGGGAAATTCCTGTAGACAATCCCTTTCAAAGTACGTATAAAATGTCACTGGAATCTTACACAAACATGTTTGTCCTTGTTTTCCATTTGCTTTAATTTGATTGC